CAACATTGCGCCTCGCCATGAACGACGCTCAACCACGTCAAGAGCGCGCAATCAGGACAGTCCCCTCTCACCGGCTCAGACACAGCAGAAAAGCCTCATCCCACGCTTCTCCTCACCGTCACAAGCCTAGATCAGAGACACCTCACTCATTCCATGCACCAAATACACATACCCTACATAGCACTTCTGCACACCTACAGTACAGACTTGCTTGTCCGCAGGAGTCAAACGGGCCGTTGTAGAACGCAAATCTACCTGGTCGCACAGGGCCAGCAACTTCTCAAGAGGGATCAGGGGGCATTTCACCACAACGGACGTAGGGTATGCTGTTTTGGTGGTTGGATGTGAGTGAGGGCGACGCCGGATTGTTCCCAGGCTCCTGCGCTGCTGCCGCGCGTGGGGTTTGAGGTTGTTTGTGCTCGGACATGTTTGGGACTTTAGGTAGGAACAGCTATCTAGATGCAGTGCGGACTTCAGGTAGAATGATAAGCGTTCTCCCGGTGACCCACGATGATTTGGTAGCGTTTAGTTCTTCGGGGGCTGGATCTAATCTTCGGGCTGATAAGATGATCTGATAAATTTCTGTTCTGCACTTTCCCTTCTTGGGATTGGCGTGGTGAGCCGGTGGGCGTCGAACTTCCCGAATACAGAACTACGACCGCGACTCCTGGGAAGTTCAGACAAGAACAACTAAGAAGGCTCGTAGGCAAAGCTCTTGTAGTTCAAATAGCAGCCAAGACCGTTCTTAGTGAACACATCAACACCACAGCAAGGTGATCACACAACACCCAACAGCACACGCTATCGCACCCATCACGGTAATCTCCCGGTGGTATCAGCCCATCGGCGTATACGAAGACGCACAGTCTCACACAGTGGACCCAACCTACAACTCGATGCTACCAAGCCAAAAAGGCCCGCAAAGAGGCCCCGTCTTCGCCCTGAAGCGGAGCCATGTCGAGATTTTCCTTTCCCGTTCGGCAGTACTAAAATGGGATCGTAGGCGCCGTCTTAACGCTGGCACATCTCTTATTTTATCAGATCATCTTTCATCTGCGATAAGGAAGGGCGATGGCTACACAACCCGATTCTGTGAGGTCGGTCGACAATGAGGGCCAGAGGCCGGCTGAGTCTGAGAAGAAGGTTGGAGAGGTGGTTGCTTGCAGTGATGCGTCGTCTGAGGGGCGGGATGGCAGCGATAAGAGCGAGGCGATTCCGCTGAAGATGAAGCTTATTGCTATTCTGTTGGTTACGGCAACGGGATTTGGGTCGCATTGGAGTAGTGGTGTTACTGGTGCGATGAAGAGTACGGTCAAGAAGGTATGGATTACATGATTGCTGCTATGGGTACTTAACTGACATTGAGAAGGAATTACATATCAACAACGCGCAGTACTCTGTTCTCGAAGCCAGCGAGGACTTCATGAAGACCGCTTTGATCCTTGTAAGCGGTCTTGTCACTGATAGGATTGGTGGTGCCAGTCTGTCTCTCTCATTCCTTGGATTATTTCGACGCTGACAGAAGACTCTCGCAGGTGCCATGCTCTGGGGTAACGCCATCTACAGCATCGGTGCCATCTTCATCGCAGCCGCAACCACCGTTCGCTCATACAAATTCATGATCTTCGGATCCATTGTCCAGGCACTCGGCGACATAGCCACGCAAGTCGCGCAGTACAAAGTCTTCAGCTCCTGGTTCGCACCATCCAATGGCTTCGCATCAACCCTAGGCTTCGAACTCGGCATTGGCAAGATTGGATCTTTTGTCGGCAAGGCTACGGCGAACGTCATTGCGAAGAACACCGGAGACTTCAGCTGGGTCTACTGGGTTGCTGTCTTCATGAACCTTTTCACCAATGTCACCACTCTCCTGTACTGGTTCTTCACGCGCTGGTGCGGCAAGAAGTATACCGGTACAGCTGACCCTGCCACTGGAGAACAGCTCACGGAGAACAACAAGAAGTTCGAGTTTGGAAAGGTTTTGCGACTTCCTTGGACGTTCTGGAGTATCGTCGCTTTCTCGCTGTTCCAGACTAGTACCGCCTCCGTCTTCGCCCAGAACGCGACCGAGTTCGCTGAGCAGCGCTTCGACATGGATGCTGTCAAGGCCGGCTGGTACTCCTCGCTGGCGCAGTACCTAGGCTTCTTCCTCGTTCCCATAATCGGCATCTTCGTCGACATCCTAGGCAACCGCATCACGCTGATGCTAGTTTGTGGGCTGGGTATGCTCCTGTCCATGTGCCTAGCCACGTGGGGCCCGACATACGCTGGCACGGCAGCTTCATTCGGTATCTACGGTGTCGCATCCATGTTTGGACCGACCGTCATCATCGACTCGATTCGCACTTCCATGTGGTACCAAGAAGTCTTCGGCTCTGGCTATGCTGTCAAGATCGCCGTTAATAACGCCATGTCGATTATCATCCGTATCATCACCGGCGTCATCCAGGACCGCGACGACAATTCTTACGATAACGTCGTTATCGTGTATGTTGTACTTTCCGCTTGCTCGGTCGTTGTCGCCGCGAGTATGTTTGTGGGCTGCTTCTGGACGAGCGATCTCGGTCATCTCCAGTGGACTAGGAGCCAGCGCATTAGGAAGGGTGAGGTCATCAATGTGCGGAGGAAGGAGTTTGAATGCGGCTCGGCCGGTGAAAGAAACAGGAAGATCAGCTTGTCGTTATTTGTTGCGCTGTTGTTCTTGGTCGTCGGATCGTGGGCGGCGTACTTCTGGGGTGTTGCGACAGGCAACAATGTCTGAGTCTATGGGGTGTATCTTCACTATCACTGGGAAGCTAGTTCCCTCGCGAAATTGATCACAGCTGTATCAGTCGTGTTTACATATAGTTCCAGTATGTCGATCCGATCCCGGCGCTGTTGCACAACTAAACGCCCAACAGCCTATATCAACTTTAGGTCATTTACATGGTCTTATATTCGAGCAGATTGCAGAACAGTTCGTTCTTTTCTAGTTCTGGTTGATGGCATATATCTATACGCAGTGAGTTACACCCGCTTCAAACCACCCAGCGACGGGTGACATGCCAAGCGGGCGGGCGGATCAAACCTTTCCACCCTCTGAGTGACCTCCTCACTTTCCTGCCATAATATCCGGACTCCATGAACGCATGGTAAGGAAGTTTTCTGCTCATTAAGCCATACACCTCGTACGTGGTGCCGTCTATTTCATACCACCAGCAGTGATTTGCTGGTCTCCATTCATTCGGCTCAATGTCTCCCAAATTCCTATTTGCGCTTTCGCTGTAAGACATGATTTCTTTCCTCTTGAATCTGATGTTTTGATATCTGTCGTAAAAGCCCATCGCTTGAATCTGGGGGTAGACGTCAGGATCAGGTCGTTTGCTGCCATGATTCCGATGCCAATCATGAGTCGGTTTGACCCAGCATTCGTATAAGAACGCTACCAAGCTTGCTTGTCTCATATTCCAGCTCCTGCTCAAGTCTGACAATGTCTCATGATACTCTTCAAAGGAATGAGCCCATTCCTGAGACAATTCTCTATAGAATACAATCATCGTATCCAGGAAGACGTCCCGCAGGTCTTTCCTATAGTCAATCGCGATTCGCTGTTCTTCTTTCACGAGCCCAAGCAACCCGTACACTTTGTCGCGAGGATTCTGACAATGACTTTGGCTGAACAAGCGAACAGCACGGATAAGACTCATCCGAATATCTCGAAGGTGGTACTTTATCAGATACCTTGCGGATGTCGAAGAGAAACGATACGGGAACTTGCCGACTATGTAGGCCAGTTCGGCCCATCCTAGCCAGACAGTACCGGCCGGGCGTTGGCTGCCCTCGAAAAGAAAGCAATCGTCGGACCAATAGCTTGAGAGGTGGCTGAACAGTATTCTCTTCCTCTTTGACAGGATGATCTCCTGTACAATCCAAAGGCGAGTGAAATAATAATCCCCCGTGATGGATGCTACAGCCTGCGAAACACTTTCCGGTGGGTTCTCGATATCCGTTGGTCTCAATGTTTTAATTATGCACGGCGCATGCGGACACTTGCGAATAGTTCCGAGCCAGATGATGGCGTCGAAACATCCCGAGTAAATGGATGCCATCATTCCGACCTGGTGGTTTCGCTCCTGTATGCTGGACTGATCGATGCAAATCTGGTCTATCCACAGGTAATTGTCTCTACACGGCTTCCATATCCCACCTTCCTCTGCAGCCACCATATAGGATTGGAAGAACCGAAATAAATTTTCTCTGATGCTGAGAGGTTTCTCATTGACCAGGATTTCGAACTGTGGTGTCGGCGGACCCCACGTGTACGAGAGAGCGGAGAACTGTGGCGCGCTACTCAATTCGAAGACTTGTATATCGCATGCTATCGGACCGTCTTGATCCGGACGTAGCTTTATGAGGCGAATCTGCTGGGTTGATGTGTCCAGAGGTTCATATCGATACATTTTTGTCGGCCCCATGTCCAACGGCTCCGTGCTTTCTTCGCGGTCCACATAAAGCTTCTGATGTTAGCATTTTTAACCCTTTACGCCTGCAGACAAGGAATCCTTACACCGGGGGATCTATAGACGCTCATTGGGAGGTAACCGAAGCTACTGGGTATGATGCATATCGCAATGAGAGCCTGCAGTCGTATCTTTTATCGCGAGGTCAAGCATACACGCGAATCAAATCCCTAGGTAACGATTGTCCGGACTGTTGTTTATTGAGGCCTAGAATGGAATTGAAGTGCAGTTAGATTCCAGGATGTGCGTAGAATCGAGGGTTATGGCGAGTTTTACTTTCGCTAAATTGTGGCGGAGCTTATCCGAGGGGCAGTGTAACGGTGGCTTAGGCAGCAAGGTTGGCCTGATTGGCTTAGCGAAGCCTGGCGGTCGTGCAAGGCTGCCTTAATTAGTGAAGCGAAAATGTTGAGACGATCCAGAGCGAAACAATTGGCAGTGTACATTCAAACTACCATACCAGATAAGCCTCGCAACAACACTACTCAGCCCAACCCAGTGTCTTCAGCGCTTGAATAAATTCAACAACTTGTCCTTATCATTCTCACCCTCAACAGCACCAGAGCCCACCAAGATGCACCGCATAACAGCACCATACAAGATATCAATCATCTCATCCCGCGCAGCCACGATCTCATCTCTCTTGGCCTTGTACTCACCATTCAACACCTCGATCTTTTTGTGCAAATTCCTGGCAAACTCGGAGTTCTCTCGGGCCAGCTTTGCGCTCTTCGCGGCATCTGTATACATGGCTACCTTCATTCCGTCGTACATGGCGGTCTCAGCTGCCTCCAGTTCTTTGACGAAGCGGTCGTAGTGGTTGACGACGTTGTTGTCGAAAACTTTGTGCCCTTCTTTCATGGTCTCGACTTCGTCAATGATCTTTGTGGCGGCTGCCATGCGGCGGTTTTGCTTTTCGTTCAGGGATTTGTAGCGCTCGGTGAGAAGGGCTCCGAGCTGGGCGGCTTCTGATACGCCGAGGTCGCAGAGCTTGGTGAGCGTCTTGACATCGATGAGGTATTCCGTCAGGTTTCCGATACCGTAGCTTGGAGTGTAGTCGTTGCTGTTGTCATTGCTGTTGTCATTGCTGTTGCCGTTACTGTTGGCTTTGCTGTTGGCGTTGCTACTGTCGTTGCCGCTGCCGTTGGTGTTGTCATTGCTGTTGCCGTGGCTTGCAGTGTAGATCTTGCTGTTGCAAATACCGTTGCCGTTGCTGGCGCCATTGCTGGTGTCGTTGGTCATGGGGGCCTTTCCTTTGCCTTTATAACTGGATGAGGAATTTGACGCGTCGGCGAAGCTTGGGGACGAGACGATTGGAGGTGAACGCGGTGTGGGCGCAACGGAACCGTTGGCTGAAGGCATACTGGCGGTTTGACGAACAGGTGAGCGAGATGTATACCTGATAAAACCGTAGACTGAATTCATATTAAGATTTTGATAAAGAGGGGCTCGTTAACGATAGCTTGAGTGGGTGATGTTGGTGTGTAGAACGAAGGATGATGGTGTTGGAAGATGGGTAGGCTTGCTTCACCTTGGTTCCTGCTCGCTGGTTTACTCAAGTTCCTCCACTCCTCCCTCACCGCTTGGAGTCGCGAGCAGTGTGGAAGTGACGAAGGGCTCAACATGTTCTGCGAAACAACAACCAGATCGGCAGTGTCTTCGATTTACCATATTGGATCAACGAACGATGTGCGAAAGGAGAATCTTGACATCAACACCAGCATATGAGACGTACTGTTCTCCTGGTAAAACAGAATAAGACATCGCAAGCGGTGTAGCACTTCACCTGCCCTCCATGACAGTTATCTATGGAACGAAGATCGACTTCATGATTTGAACAAGGCCAGAGTGCATGCCTCACTGCAGCCTCAGGCACTTCTCACGGACAGCCCTGCCTGGTATCGTCGGACACATCGGTCTAGGCATGCACCCTGGTAGGCCGGAGTATCACGTAAGAAGCCGAGGCAGGCCCGGAGAGGCGGGGAGGAACGACTGGAGCCAGGGAGGTGGGCTGATTTCTCGGTCTGGAGCCCCCATCTGACGGTAAGCGGCGATGTTGGATCGGCGTCGATGCTCCGCGAAGGATGGAGCATTGATGTGCAGGCAGGTGAGCAGGTGTATGTCGAGGAGGAGTAATCAGGCGCGGGATGTAGGCAAATGTCTCACCGCTATGACTACGCTCTATGTCTGTATGGGTTCGCTGGGAACGGTCAGCAGTGACGTAGTGACGGCAAATGGCGAATTGCGGGGGTTCCAGGTCGCAGCGTGGTTGCACATGTACATCATCTGAGGTCGCATAAGACGTCGAGGCAGGTACAAAGTGCCGACAGGCGTGTGTAAAGCCGAGAGCGTGGACTGGGCTCCCTGGTGCAATTACGGGGTGTGAGGAGAGCAGACATGGTGATGGTTCGCGCGAGGAAAGCAGGCCGACGAGCGCCCATGACCAGTCATCAATACGAGATGGTCAGAGGATAGATTGCTGACGAAGAGGGCTGGGCTGGGAAGAGGGCGAGGAGTGGGCGAGGAGTGGTCGAGGAAGTGGCGATGCGACTGTGGCAGGCGCGCCAGGCCGGATGAGGAACCATCAACAATCAACAGTAAGAGTGAGGGCAGCGGCAGGGAAGCCGCGTGGGGTGAGAGATCGGCATGCCGAAGCCAAGCCTACAGTAGTCGTGTTATGCTGGTCGTAGGCTAGGCTCACTGCAATCTAGCATGCTATGAGAGAATTGACTACCCCAGAGCCTACTTTGACGTTCGATCGATACGTTGCATGTTCTTACCTTAATGGAATCCAGAGTAGGCTGCACGATCTGTCTAGTCTTTTCTCTGTATGAGGCGGGCGGTCATGCTGGTGAGCGCTGGCGGTTGTCTCGAATGTTCGGGCCGTTCAGTGCCGCCCCAGTCTTTATAACAGGTCCGGGTCAGTTTGGTCTGATTGGGTACCAACCTGACGGTTCGCAGGTTGCATCAAGTCGAGTGAGCGACTGGGCTGGGTCAGTCTGCTACAAGCGGCGCGCGCACAGCGACTGTTGAGCAGAAGCAAGAGTTAGCGCTCGCCATGGGGCATAGGCGACGGTTAACCGCTGGGTTGCGTTGGTCTTGGGCCGTCGCACGCTGAAGCCCCTTCGCAGCGCATCGCCGTGGAGGGCCAGGCCTGACCTATTGGATGCAGTCGCGCTAGCCGGTGGGCTGGAAGAGGGAAGCATCTACCCAGCACTCTTGGCGGCTTTGGAGCCGCGAGCAAAACTTCGGTCCCTCCCTCGAGGTCCCGACCTTCTTTGTCTCCTGATGCACTAGCCCGTCTGCTGCGACACTGTCCTGTTGTTGTTGTTTTGCGCCTTTCCCTCACGACTAACGGCCGATTCCCCGACGCCCACGACGACACGGCCGACCGCAATTGCCTCGACTGCTGTGCCAGCCGGAGCTGCACACCCCTCTCCGCCCCCAGGAGTCTCGTCCGCCGCGTCCACCGCGTCCAGCAACTGCCGCCTACCAACACGCACCACCCTGCGCCGCAGCCACGTCCTGGCCGCGCACGCCTCCAATGGCCGTACTGGAGAGCACTGCAGTCGCCCGCGACGCCAAACCCGCCCAGCTCGCCTCGTCTCCCCTCGCCCGGGTGATGCGCGAGTTCGAGGAGCTCGTCCAGGGCTTCGAGACGGGGCTGCTGCGCTCGCTCGAGGACCCCGCCGCCGACGACGTGACCACGCCCAAGAGCACCGCCCGGCGCGACGAGATCCGCCGCGAGGCCTGCCGGCTGGCCATCTCGGACCTCAGCAACCAGTACACCCCCAAGTACATCCGCCGGTCGCTCGACGCCGCCGAACTCGAGGGCAAGCGCGTCGAGGACCAGCTGCAGAGCCTCTCGCTCAGCGGCCGCGCTGCCGACGACGAGAGCGACCTGGGCAGCCTGCACAATGGCTACTTCCGCCTCTACTCCACCGAGCTCTTCGACCTCCTCGGCCAGCCCACGGAGCTGCGCTTCGGCACCCTGCGCTTCCACAAAGACACGCTGAGCCTGCCCGAGACCCCCTCGCCGCCCCACGTCACCGTCGAACTCGCTCTCAACGACGCCTTCTTCGTCGCCGACTCGGAGGAGACGCTGCCCTACCACACGTTCCGCCTGCCCACCACGCCCTCGTTACAGAACCGCGGCATACGCAGCCGGAAGTACGACGACGACGGCACCTTCCCCGAATACGACTCGTGGCTGCTCTTCACCTTCCTCGGCAACGGCTGCATCAAGCTCGAGGTGCCCATCGAGATGTGCGCAGACGTCTACGGCGGCTGTCTGCGGGGCCGGGAGAACGAGGAAGTGCTCTTCTGGGGTTTCTTTGTTGACGATGACGAGTAGCGTCGCATCACATTTGCTTGGACTGGAGTTGGTATCAAGAGCTAGACAGGGCTTGGCATTGGAGTTGGGCGCAAAGGACTGGCCTGGTCGGCCGCCGGAACGGGTGCTTGGACATGCATTCACGACTCACGAATTTCCTTAACTGTACCTTCCTCTTCTCATCCCCGCTGCGGGGCCATATTCCCTCACACTTTAGGCCGTCAATCCTGCGCGTCATTACATTCTTTCCCATTGCGTTCTGGGCGGCATTGTGCATAGCAGTTTACAGTTTACTCCTCAAAAGGCGGACGATGAGGTAGATGATAGAGCGCATGGAGCGACACAGCATTGGTACTCGATAATACACACCGACGGACAAATCACATGCGCCGGATAAACCTTCTGCCGATCCCTTGCTCTTACCTTTTCTGATGTGCAGCCAACCTTTGCATCTGCATTATCCTCAATTCGGCAGTCCACAAAGCAACATGGCGCCCACCTTGCCCGAAGCAGACGCTGCCGCTGCGAACGCGCCCGTTGTCGCAAACACAGGATTCAGGTTGGGCGACGAGGAACAATTTTCAGATGCAAGCGACAGCGACCAATCACAGACGAGCCAGCGAAGCGCTTCCCCGAGGCGAGCAAACGGCCAGGCGCCTGCGACCAAGTCGAAGAAGAAAAAGCAAAAGGACCGACGCAAGATGGGCGCATTGGCTGATGAGTTAGTCGACGTCTTGGGCGACGCCTTCTCGACGCCCCAAGCCGACCTGCAGAGTGGTATGTCACGTGTTGGACATGACGATCTAACGTCTATTGATCCTACGCGCACTTGCTTTTGGCACGTGCGACCGGGGTGAGCGAGTCTAACATGATGCAGGCCCGGTCCAGCAAGCCAACGGCGACCAAACTATGGCCATTGATTCCGACCCTATGGGCAAGAAGATGAGTGAGTCCCTCAAAGGACCCTCAAACGTCCACTTCACCGTCATACTAAACCCTGTCTAGACAAACGCACCCGCCAGAATCTCGCCAGGATGCAAGCACGCAAAGAAAGAAAAGTAGCTAACCCCAAGATGGACATGTCGGAAGACAAGACACTACAAGCCCAAATGGCAGCCGCGGAGCGCATAGGCATGTCCCTGGACGCATACCGCAAGATCGGCAGTGGCAAGGGCATGTCAAGAGCAGCCGCACGCAGAGCAAAGAAAGATGCCATCAGAAAAGAGCGAGCTGCAGCCGCGGTAGACGAAATGGAGATTGGATAGAAGAAGCTGAAAGAGACCTGCATGGTGGCTTGAGATGAAAGTGCGGAGAAAGCATGAAGCTAAGGAACGAGACATTCCAAAAAAGCCGATGCATCAAACAACATTTTCCCATGTCGCACGCTTTCGGACGTGATCTTGTTTTCTGTTTTTGTTTTGCGCCTGCTTGAGGAGAGGGAATATGCAAGCCATACGCCACTGTCGTAACCCTCTCACATCTCCGCCAAGTATCACATGTTCGTATCCCAGAACTTAGCGTTCGTACCGCAAACTATGGTTCCCCAACCGCACGCTGAATACTAACGTGCCCGTTTCTTTCGGTCCTACCCTCCTTCTACGCGAGCGTTTCCTGTCACTCTCGCTTACTTAGACAATGCGGATCGACTATCGTCCTTGTTACCAAATGCGTGGCAACGCTTCACCGCACCTCATGAGGAAAAGCAAATGTGCAAAACAAAAATCGTTCAGTGTGGCTGGCAGATAGTACGTTGGTCCTATTTATCTGGAGATTACCCTGTTTGTTAGGCCGATACTGGCCGGTATTGTGGTTTTGGGGTTTTGCTCCGCGGGGAGGGGAGGTGTCATGGGTGTCATGGGTGTGGAGGGAGGCGCAATGAAGAAGAAGAAATGGTGTCACAAAAAGTAATGGGTGCATGCAGATAGATGTCACGTGAGGGCCTGCTGTTGCGGACCCTCTTTCTTGCAAAGAGATAAGGTCAGATAGGTTGGGGGTCTAGTGCGTCCTTTGGGGATGGAATAAGCAAAGG